AGCCTAAAGCATGCCTTTTCAGCGGCAAGGAAAATTCAGTAGGAGACAGCTGGAAAGCCTTATTAACTTCACTCACATTTCCTTCAGTCAAACCACTTAGAAACCTTTGCGGGGAGAGGGGAAAACAAGACCTCAGCATTCCTTCTAAAAATGAACATTTAATCTACTTTACATGGCTGCTTTGACAGAAAATACAATAACACATAGTTCAAAATAAAAATGATATACTTACAAGAACCAAAGAAATATTAGTATTAAAATGGCCATCTGAATACTTAAGAATGGTAGAATTTTCTGATCTTTTAAACTGTGCTACTCCATCATCATTGCCTTTTACCCTCTATGGCAGAAATGAGAAAACATATATATCGCTGGACCCTAATGTGTACTCAGTAATAAATTATACAGGTTGGGCACACTGAGAAGCTTGATAATTTCCATACTTTATCCAAGATTGTTCGGGGCTGGGGGGAGCTAACTTTTGTAAGTATATGAATTACGACACAAAATATTAGGCTTGGGTGAGAAAAGAGAGTCTCTTGCATATTAAACTTTCTATTTGGTCTCACTCTGGTTTGTACATGTTCTTCAGAAATTGTCAGCACGTTTGTTTATATTAGTTGTTCAATACATTTATATACAGCCCAGTAGCCAAAAAGCTGGACAATTTACAAGTTTTTATCTGTAATATTGAGGATAACTTACTTGTTTTAGGAAAAAAGAGGGCACAGATATACCCCTAGGCCTAAAGACAAAAAGTAGATTTGATTTTATGCACAAATGTCCCCAAAGTGATATCTCTTGTACTACCACTTCATGTAGCCCATTGCACTTTGTCATATTCAGTAGTTAAAAAGCAGGTATCATATTCTCACTGTACTTTCTTGTTTTGCTATTTTCCATGCCAGGGGGGAGATCAAATGCATGCTGGGTATTATTACCAGACTTTTAGGTTGTAGAAGGTCAGTTTGCAGTTTGGTATATATCTGGCAGCACACAAACAACAAAAAATAGAAGGGCTTAGAAATGTTCTAAGATTTTTGGACAGAGACCTATATTAGTTATAGAAAAAATCAGTTCTCCATAGAAGAAATTATCAAACCTCAGTAAATCAATGGGCTATTTTCATCGTGTCATCAAGGTAACCTTGCCTTTGTGTTTCAATGGTAATTTAGCATTATTCTGGTTGGCAAATGTTTTATGAGAGCGTTAACAGCTGCCACACAGTATAATAAAAAGCATCACCAGTTCATTACAATAACAAATCTGATAAGATGCTCTCCTGTTCAGTAAAACAGCTCTTCCGATGTATCTGCCCAGATAATGCACAGAGAACTTAATTATCTATTTCTACCCAGCTCACCTTGCAACCCAGAACCTATCAATCTTGCTCTCCACTAGCATTCACAGTTTTGCCTCACACTTTGAAAACCTAACCACACCAATTTAGATTACAAACATTAAATGAGAACACCGTATCTCCTGGGTACTTAGCAGCTAAGCAGGTAGAAGTAAACCTTATAATTTTAGAAGTGTGGGTGCAGATAGATATTACAACATGGAACCACATGTCAGATTTCTTACTTGGAAACTACCTCTTCAGTTTCCCCACTGTCAGCAACTAATGATATGAAACAGGTCAAAGAATGTTGAGGATAACTGATGGCGGGGTAAGCAGTTGAACATTTCTGAGGCCAGACGCATGCTCTCTGCAACATGCAACACAAGAGAGATGAGATGGGCCCTCAAACTTTTCTCCATACCATTGTTATTGCCTCTTGTCACTGGATGTATAGGCCAAAACATGGAGGGCCACAAGTTGCCCACTCTTGATAATGCTTTGCTACAATGGCCATTAGGACCATCTGTTTCGTTCTCCCATGTTAGGCATCTTTGGAAGGGGACCTTACTAACAATGCTAGTGTCTTAGGTATCTGCAATGCGGCTGGAGGAGGTGCATTTCCTCATGCCAGCCCCTCTAACTCCCTAGAAATGTTACACAGTGGCTCACAAAAGGCGCCATGTTGGGCATCCCATCTTCCCTAGTGCCTATTCCATTTAGCAAGTCTGCACAATCCCCTGTGTAATATTCTGCCAGACAAACTTCATGCACCTAAAGTTGGATCCAACTACAATGGATTTGCGCCATGGTTCCTAGTACTTTTTCCAGCTGCTTAATCAGAGTCATGGTGGAATTTGTATAATAAAGTCACATTTTCAGTCTTCAAGTTCTTCAATTCAAGCCTACAGATTGGGGAACTGGGGTTACTCTTCCCCTTAAAAAAGCCTTCAAGGCTTGTAGAAACTGATTCTGGCTCAGACAAGGAGGAAGGATTATAATCTGCAGCAGAACAGCCAAGGGCAGTAGACCTAGAGATAATAAACCAGGCAGCCACCAGCTTCAAATACGTTGGAAAAGTTTAATGAGAATCGTAATGTGGAGGTGGGGACCTAGGCTCATCATTTTATTTATTTATTTATTTCATTCCATTTCTATAACCCGACATTTCTCAGGGCAGCTTACAAATGCTAAAACTGCATAGAATACAATAAAACAATTAATCAGATAAAATAGATAATAAAGTGATAGATAACATCTAATAAAATATACCCGTGCCCCAAAATACAACCAATAAATTAACCAAAATATATTAATCCATAACAAGATATAAAAGAATTAGATTAAACTAAACTAAATTAACCAAAATCTTGTTTAAATAAAAAAGCTTTCACCTGGTGTCTAAACGAAAGAAGAGTTGGCACCAGCCGTATATCCCTGGGGAGTGAAATCCATTAATCCAGGGAGAGGGGTTCAAATTAAGAGGGCAGCCGAGATGAGAAGCATCAGATGCACCAATCCATTGACCCACCAACAGGAGAATCTCCCATAAAAACATGGTTTGGTCATTTCTGCACAGAAGGGAGCAATGGAATTCAGTTTGGAATCAACTTCTTATAGTTATGCCACATTCCCCTGATGGCCAGTATTGTAAGATTGCTTGTTTCTTTTGTTATTGATTTCTGCACTACTACTCCTTCCTATCACAAAGCCAGCCTAGCTGATCTGCTTTAACATAATAAAGGCTTTTAGTTCAGAAAGACTTGTCATAGTCCGCTTGGAAGGATAGGGAGAAAGAACTGCCAAGACACAGATTACACTTCTATTACACTTCTGGTTTAAGGATGTATATTATATGAAGACAGCTGATCTTCCCCATCACATTAATTGCAAATTCTAATTCACATTTTATGACAGAATTAAATCTCTACATAATATTCAAATTGCAGAAATATTACCCTTTATTGTTCATTTTTGTCATGTTCTATCCATCTATTCTTAAGTACTACACACATTTCTATTTAAATTCCTGGATTTTGCTTTGACACAATCAAGGAAGAGCAAATATACTTTTCCTACAAGATCTAGAAATTATTTGCCTTTAGCTTCTGAACTATCTTCCTAATCCTCCTGCAAGAACCAGGCTAGTTCATGTTCTTGTCATATTCATATTTCACAGCACACTGTTGACACATTGATGATGATGATGATAATTTAATTTCTGTTCCAGCCCACAGCTGAAACTTTCTGGGCACCTTACAAGATGCAAAACAAAACAATCAAATACAATCAAATAACATAAAACAACGTTAACAGAGTAGAATTAATTAAAATAACTCAAAATTCAGTAAAATACAATAAAAAGACAAAGAAGAATTACCAGGATAATTCCCCTCAGGCCACTGGATAACCAAGGAAATCTTTAAAGGCCTCCACATGGAGGGCTGTCTAGACCAGGCACCAAAAAGATGGCAAATTTGACACAAAGTAGGTCACAGCAGGGAGGTTGTTCCAAAGATAGGGGCCACCACAGAAAAGGCCCCCTGAGCCTCTTGTGGGGTTGGCATTTGAAGGAGGGCCCCGGAGGTAGAGCATAACGTTCAAAACATTTTAGGATTATTAACACCTGTTTACTTACCTCTTTCAGCAACCTCTGCTGCCTGTCTGTACAGCTGAGAATGCTAACTGTGAGGATTAGGTAGAACAAGCAAAGCTTCCATTGTTTGGTGGAGGCACCATAAGCTTGCCCAAAGAATCATACATAGCACATGACCAACACTTTCATGGAGAGATCCTATGGCCCCTGGACAGCATGCCAACCTCAGAACTGGAAACTGGAGGTCAAGCCCACTTCCCCTTTGCAGCTGGGGCAGAAAGAACCAAGCTGCTCGCTCACCGTTATCGGAAAAACAACACCAGAGGAAGGGGACCGTGATGTTTGGGAGCATAGGAAAAGCAGTAGAAGGAGAGGCCATGATGTAAGTTATTTAAGATATCCCAAGGCTTCTCCTGTCTCCTTAATTCAGCTTCTGATATGCTTCAACCAGATGGGCCAAAAAACCACACACAAAAAAAAAGCAGAGTGCAAAGGCAAGGAGGCAGAGATTACCTCTGCCAATCCGCCCATTCTGTACCAGATAGTCTCCCTGTTCACGGGCATTGCCACGCAACTGTGCCCTGATGTGATAAACAGCAGCAAGGCAATAGCATAGGACGTTTAGAAAGAGCAAATTTAGACACTAATCCCACATAAGTGCTCAACTGGCAGTGCATTCCATTAAACTCAATGGCATTTACTTCAGCTTATGCTGGTAATGACTTATACTGACTTTAATGTATGGATTGATCTCAACACCACCAAGCAGGTCTTTAGTAGAAAAAGTAACTATTTTTCATATTAAAATCTTTGACAATCTATGAAAATCAAGCTGGGGTTTTATATAAATAATTGATTCATTAAGAATGCCAAAGTCATGATTATATGTCTTTTCAGATGACAGAAAATCATACAGTGACAGAAATATATTACTGAGACTCTAACCTGGGGGAAAGCTTCTCAGTCCTTCCTACCATGACCTTCACGTTTCTAGCAGACTAGCAGGCAGTAACATTAAACCATTTATAGGTATACTGAGTGGATTCCATAGGAGGATGGCCACATTTTACCAAACTCTTACGCCTTAACAAGGCAATATACTAAGCATGAGCTCCTGGATATCTATAATTCAGCTGCTGCAGGAGAAATTATAATGCAGAGCAAATAACCCTGCATTGCTTGTAACTCTCTTTCTATATAGTACTTGAATCATAACAGCCTCTCAAGACCGTGACAGCAAAAGTAGCATTTGCACTCGGCTATTGTTACTCTGTTGGCTGTTAAGACACTACATCTCAGGAAAGTACGACAGTGAGTGAAATATTTCCATCACTCTTTGTAAGGTTTCTGGAGCCTGTCCAAAAATATTTATCTTGAAAGGCTGATCTGTCAAACCGAATGCTGCTCATGAAGGGCAGGGTCTACAGAATTACACGTTCATTTCTCCGCAGAGGGGAGAAGGGTTATCGTTCAGTAACCTTGCCATGACTGGCTGTTATGGTCATTCTTCTAGTGTGCTATGATAAAGGAATAATAGGCTTCCCACCACAGCAGTTGTAGGGACTTGTAGGTTCCATGAAACTCACATTGCCTCCTTAGCACCCATGTTGCTGAAATTCTTGATGGTGGGAAGGGAAGGGGCAACCCTCCCCCCCCCACAATTTTTCTGCATCAAGTCACTAAGAAAGCCAAAGGTAGCCTGATCTCATTTGTTTGCAAGGGAGAATTAGCTATTATTTATTGATTACATTTCTAGCCTGCCCATTAACCAAATAACTAGGCTCCTGCAGTAGTCTATCACACAAAATTGGTGGCAGGCTGCCATTTTTCCTCTTGAGCATCCAAAAGAGTGCAGCCTACACACAAAGGGGTGGTGGTCCCAGTGGTACCAATTTTGCAAATTCTATAGAACGTGGCAAGAAAGCTTGTTGGGGTCACTCCACTTGCTAGTTTTTCCCCTTTTCCTGCTTTTCTGGCTGTCTCCTGCTTCCTACCAGAGCAAAGAAGCTGCTGCTGTTGCCATTTTTCTTCCCCTTCCAGCATCCCCTTCTCCTTGGTGCCACACTCAGGGAGTTCTGGAGCTACTAGTGAGAAGTACCCAGGTCCTCCAGGTCAAAAGGACTTTTGAAATAGGAAGCACCCCTAAAGAACCTAAACATTCATATTGAGAGCCAGTGTGGTATAGCGGTTGGATGACTGGGACTTCTGGATCTAGTCCCTACTCAGCCATGAAGCTCACAGGGTGACTTTGGGCTACCCAGCCTAACCATCTATCTTCACTGTGAGGACCAGAGCATTGTAAGCCATGATGGTTCCTAGCCAGAGGAAGATAGGCAGGGATAAAAGTTATGTGATATAAATATCAGAGGGGAGAATCCTCACTATTGCTCTGAATTATGCCTGGAAATGTAATGGCAACAGAGCATGCCAAATAAAGAGAAAACAATCTATAGTGTAAACAGGCCCCCAGCGGGTTTGTACCCTGTTACATCGCATGCCATTTTGTTACTGTGGCTTGGCAATACTGCTAGCATCAAGCAGCAGAACATTGCCCAACTGGAATCTCCAACATCCAGAGAATCTCCATTACCTGTCTCCAGTTACCCTGAACTTCCTCCTGCAAAGCAAGAAGGGCTTTCACCTAGAAATGTGATTGTTCACATTTAGAGTTCAGTCCTACATAGAGTAAGAACTCCCACTGAGTTAAAGAGAGCTTATTCTAGGGTAACATACAGAATTACAGACTTTGGGCACTATTTTCTGATGTTAAAGCTGGCTGGAGAATGCTGGGAATTGTAAGACTTTTTTCAGTCTAAATGTATAGATTTTTTCCATCTATAGGATTGCACTTGAACCTTTAGAAAAGCTTTCCTTTCAAAAGCAGAAACTTGCTTCCTTTCTGATAGTCTCTTCTAGAAGACACCCCTGTTATAATCCATCTAAAGTCTCCAGCTTTTGTGCTATTTTTTATGAATTAACTGAATATATTTAGCCCTTCCTACTCATCTCAAGGGACATTCACAGTAAGTTGCAGCATGTGCCTACAAAAGAGAGGTTTGCTGAGCCATCACCATGGCAACACCAGAGAGGCTTGGAATGCCATGCCCCAAATGTCAGCGGACTTTTAAAAATGGTTTTATTTCTATGAATTTAAACAACAAATCCGCTCTGCACAAATGTCACATCAGTAGCAGGTGTGCAAAAATATAATCTAGACTTGAAGTGTTACTAGTTCCTAGTTTACCCTCTTTCTAAATAATGCCTCCACCCATTTGCAAATGCCATTAGAATTAAAAGAAATATGGAATGACCTGCAGGGTAGATAATTGTGGTGGGGAGTCAGGCTACACAAAATAGGGTTCTTTTGTTTCATTTACTTGTTAATGTCAAGTTGGAAGGACTTCATATTTGTTCCTACACAAAACTGAGTCCCAAAAGGGGGTGGAAAACATTGTGACATCCACTGCTGTTTTCTGAACCTTTACACAATTCAGAGGGATGTCAGGAAAACCCCCAACTCTTTGTTACCCTCTAGAGAAGGTGTGGGCTTTCTCTAGAGTACTGATGAGAAAGAAGTGCGTTTATGGACCCTTAGCCAAAACATCCAAACGGCAGCTCCCACAGAGCTCTACTTGTTTAGACAGAAAAATTCCTGCAACTCCCAGCCTTCCCAGCTGAGAGATGTAGAACTTTTTTCTGCATAAATGTGCATAGACAACCATCTAAAACATCGAACTAAATAAAACAACATTGCCTTTTGGTGGTACCTCAACAGCTGCTATTTAAAGCAGGTCTTATTCTGCCTATGTATTGATTTTACAATATTTCTGTATGATGTTTCAACCATAATTGATCTCAGCGTCATCAGATCTGAAGGTGGCTCATACAGCTCTTTTCAATTTTAGACCCAGAACGCTTGGTGATGCTGATGGTACCATGTGGCAGCAGCAACAGGGCTGACCAGAGCTTACATTGTCCCCAGCCCTCCAGCTGTGCCAGTTTGATTGGATCTGTAAGCAGATCATAACAAGAACTATCTCAGAGGCAGTGATGGTTAGCAGAACTGGCAGAACAGTCAGAGTGAGAGAGAGAGAGATTTTTTTATCCTTCCTGGTTCTCCCGCTACTGTTGCTTCCTCCCAGATTCAAGAAACATCATCCTTCCTGTAAAGGAGTGTGCATTTTTAATACACATTCTTCCAAATGTACGCATGCTATTGAACAATTTTGGGGCCAGCGTGTGCACACTGAAAACTCAGAACATTACACACCTTGACTGCAGATTACATTTCAGCTGGTGTTCAGTCTGAGTGGTACAAGCTGGGTAAATCCTGATAATTCACTGAAATGAATTTCTCAACTATCTCTACTCATGATTGTCAGTAGGTGCTGTACAAACAGACAGAAGGGTGAGTTTACCCAGTGCTTCTATCCTTGCAGAATTCATGAAATAGCGAAGTAGGTCAGATAGGTGGCTTCTTTTAAAAGCCGGCCAAGCAGGTAGATTTTTGCTAGGAGACGCTGAGCTGCATAAATTCTTGTCTTCCCACACCAGGTTAAAGTCGAATTTGGAACATCCTTCCAGTTTAGCAGAATCACCGGCTGTGCAATGATTGCTCACTGGGATGATGCTCTGTTCATACCTGCATAGCACAGAAGTGATTCACATTTCCTATTGAAAGGCTGCATCACAAGAGAGGCAAGTACTTGTTTCTTCTTCACTCAGTGGCCACCATAATATCGAAGGCTATGACATGCCTGGTTTGGCCTTAAGATGCTAAACATGCTACCAAATAATGTTGCAGGTCTTTACAACTTACAACGTGGGATATGTTCATTGCAGCTGAAAATACAGAAAAGTTCATATTGACACAGGCTGACCATTTAGCAAGACATAATTCACTGTGCTAAGGATATAACCATTTATAGAACAAACCACCTTAATCATCCTGCCAAGTGGTAAGCAGAATTGCACCATTGCATCAGGCACTCAAATCATGAACAGCAGAACATCATTCATTGTTTAAAGTGCATTAGAAATATATTGCATGATTGTTCACTCACTGTTTGGTCACTTCAGGCATTTTTGGCTGCTCCTTCTTCTTCCCTTCAATGGCTGGTTCGATGGGAGTGAGTAGCACAGCAGCGCAAGAGACTATAGATTGGTGTGAGTCTTCCCGGCACACTGCAAAGTGACAGCAGTTTCGTTACCACTTGCGCACGCATGTCTTTCGCTTCCAAATATCATAGTAACGTTTTCCTCTCACGTAGCCACCAATGAACTTACCAGCAGCATTGTGCCATCACAGCAAGACTGTGAAGTAGTTTAGTTTGAAGGAATTACCCTGTGAGTAAGGAAAGAAGCAAACCATTTCTGTGCAATTTTGAAGTCCTTCCCATGCTCATTGGCATGACTGTCGTCCTTAAAATGCATGGAGGAGCATTCAGAAACTTGATTCTCCAGTACCTACTTTAAATGGTATGGTTGCATAATGGAGTCATCACAGAAATCTGCTGAATGCATGTTCTACCACCAAATGAATAGGTGAAAAAAAGAAAAACTAATCCATTCTACCTCCCTGGGATTCTTAACATGTGTATACAATATTTTATTTCTTCTGCAGTGTTTGTATGCACCCTACTTTGATGAATCAATTCCAAAGAATCCCATATACTATGCAAATCTTAAAATTATGAACAAAGGTGTGCAAACATTAAGGACTGGACTATATTCCTTTGCGAGGAAGTGATCTGGGGATACATACTAGCATAAGATGGGGCCCTAACCAAAAATGTATGCGGTCCAGCTTTTCCCTCTTCTGTCTCTTTCAACTCATTCATTCAGCCACTCACGCTTTCTCCCATTATTTTCTCCAATTCTTTATCTCATACACATGCACAGAGAGATGCTGTCCACTCAGGCACGTTCTGAGAAAAGAGAAGGAATGGGAACAGTGATGTTGCTGATTATAAGGCAGGCCTAAACTAGGCTCAAGTTTGGGCTCGGCTTATAACGAGTTTGTAGAGGAATTAATTTTGCAATTAAAAGCCCAGTTTTCTAATTCTGAACTTCAGTACCATCATCAGTCTTAATTTTCTTCTGTGGGATTTGAAAATGCCAAATGAAGCCTCACTACAAATCTAATGCTGTTTTGTTGCTATTTGGGGTACGCGCATGCGTGAGTAGACCAGCTGATGGTTTTCCAACTTTGATGGCTTTATCACCAATTCTTCTGGCTATATCCAGTGCTAACATGAAACAAGAGACCCCTCCTCAGTGTAGAGGGTTGGCCCCAAGAGTTCAACTTATTGATGAATGGAATATATACTGTTATAGAATTTAGAATAAATGCCTTTCTTCTAAAAATATACATCTCCCTCTCATCGCAGAAGATTATTTCAAATGCCATTCTCCTTCCCCAGCCTCTAGATATATTGCACTTCAACTGGTAACTCCTGGGAGTCATAGTCTAAATTTTTTAGCAGTCACCTGGTCAGGAAGGCTATACTAATGGCTAACGTTTGGAGGCATGTTTATGATCTAAATGTGCATGCTAATTTTAGTTAAAGCATTGGATATATTTATAAGACAGCCCTTGTATTCATAAGATCTGGGTGTAAATGCATGTGTACCTATGTGTATTGAGTGCATCCATTTCTTAGCTGCTTTGCAGTATCAGAATCTTTCCATGGCAGTTTACAACTTAGAAAGCATATTATAGATGATAAATACTAAAGCCAGGTTTCCTTGATCTTTGGATGATGTACATACCCACATTTTCATTCTTTTCCAGTAAATGCAAAACTTCTAATAATTCTGAGATAGTAAACCATTACCAGAGTCTTAAAAAAAGTATTAACAACAGAAACCACAAACACATTTTTTCTCCTTAAGGTTAAGAGTTTAACTTAGGAGTGAAGCATTACAAACATTACTTAATGTAAAATATCAGGAATGATTAATACACAACAGCTGCTGGGTGACTCAGAAAGCATGGTAGATTCCATCCAATTCCCAGTGATCAGGTACCAAATATAATCAAAAAGGATCAGACCCTATGCTACTTAGCAACCCTGCTATGATAATTTAATCACGGTTTAGTTATCTTGTTCTTAACTATAACATTTACTCTAGGCAAAACTAGTATGAGCAGTATTTACAAAGTTCTGCTTTTTTTTCGGCATTATTTCCCTCCCCATAAACAAGAAGCTTGGACCCACATTTTCTCTGTTCTACAATTCTAGATTGAACCATCCTAACCAACCTCTTTACCCTCAGTTTCAACTCAGACTCAAGTATGCATGGTTAATAGAGCAAGCACACAATGGCATCAACATTCCCCAGAGTACAAACTTAATGCATGGACAGCATATGGGTATCTGAACATCTGTATAAATACATCAGGCAATATCATCCTAATTAGGGCTTTCAGATTTTCAAAAATGTGTTTTTCTAATGGTGGGCGGGGGCAACCTGGCCCCTTCCAGTTGAACTACAGTTCCCAGAATTCCTGAATATGGGCCATGCTGGTGGGAACGTGTGGTAGCTGCAGTCCAAAACATCTAAAAGGCCTGTGCCTACTTTATGTCATCTACACTTTCTCGGTTTGAAACAAGAAATACTCAGAACTTGTTTTCTGTGCAAAGTCTGCAGATGTCCCCAGACCCATATCTTCTCACAGTCAACTCCTTGCACCTCCCCAGACAAAAAGGAGTCATGTCTAGAGAATTGCAATACTTCTGTTGCTACACATGTGTATGTATTGCAATCAACATATGCCTGCCAATGAAAAGTATTCTGAAGCTGCAATCAGAGCACAAGGTGCCTGCAAGGAAACTGCTCATAGCCTGCCTGTCTATCAAGCTGTTGATCAGCTTGTTTATTGAGTTACTTTCATCCTGCCTTTTAGAGCTGAGCCCTCACCAGGCAGCTTACAAAATAAGAATTGGGTTAAGAAGAACACAGGGAAAAGGATTCACAAAGCAGCAGCAGATTAAACGACAGAGACCCAGCAATTAGCAAGAAAGCTGGCAGGAGAAGCATTTTAAATCCTTACACCAAAGAAAAGATCAAACGTTCTGTGATGACAAGGATCCAAAGATATAAGACCACCACTGTCGATGCAGGTAAATGTTCTCTTCAAATATTTTTCTTGAAAATCAGTGAATGGTCATCTGAAATGGATTCTTTGCACCCTCATGCCACCTAAAACTTTCATGGTACGACAGTGGGAAGATAAACTGTCACCTGCAGTAATGCAATCCATTGAGGACCTTATTAAGATTTCAATACTTGAATGAACGGCAGCACCTTCTAATGAATACTTATTTGGATATCTGGTCCACTCTTATGGAAACCTAAGTGAATTGCATTTTCATGCAAAGAAACACACACAGAGATTTCTTATGAAGACACACACACACACACACACACAAGCACACAAATATTGGGGAATGTTCAACAGTGCAGAAGTTCTAGAACATGATTGCTGATTACTATCATGAAGTTCTACCCATGATTCCAAGGGCAACTCCTAAAGCTAGGCTTCGTTATTTTCAGCTTAATGGTCCTGAATTCCTGCATGAAGACCTTATGAAGCGATTGGAAGCAGCTACAATGCCACATATTGTGTGCTACTGAAAGTCCTGAAAACAACAGTACAGGATTAATAAAATTGGTTACAAATGTGCAATCAAGTCATCTCCAAGTTATGGTGAATCTATGAATGAATGTTCTGTGCTTCAAAGCCCTACTCATTTTTTTGTAAATTCAAGGCTGTGACTTTGTTTATGAAGTCAATCAATTTCATCTTTGTCTTCCTTTTCTTCCTCTGCTTTCAGCTTCCCCTAGCATGATGGTCTTCACCAGGCAGTCCTGCTTTCTCATGATGTGCCCAATTTTGACAGCTTCAGTTCAGTTTTATCATTTTTTTACTTCCAGGGCAAATTCTGGCTTGATTTGATCTAGGATCCACTTCTGCCTGTCCAGCATATTCTCAAAGCTCTCCTCTACCACCATGTTTCAAATACATAAATTTTCTTCCCGTCAGACTAAGAACTGGAATTTGTGAATTCATGTATTTCTTCAGCAATCTTGATTTACCATTACGTATGTTCTTTTTGCAATGTATGGCTGTGAAAGTTGGACCATAGGGAAGGCTGAGCGCTGAAGAATTGAGGCCTTTGAACTGTGGTGCTGGAGGAGACTCCTGCGAGTCCCTAGGACTGCAAGGCAATCAAACCGGTCAGTCCTAGAGGAGATCAACCCTGACTGCTCTTTGGAAGGCCAGATCATGAAGATGAAACTCAAATACTTTGGCCACCCAATGAGAAGGAAGGATTCCCTGGAGAAGAGCCTAATGCCGGGAACAATAGATGGCAAAAGAAGAAGGGGACGGTAGAGAATGAGGTGGCTGGATGGAGTCACTGAAGCAGCTGGTGTGAGCTTAAGTGAACTCCGGGGGATGGTGGAGGACAGGAAGGCCTGGAGGAATGTTGTCCATGGGGTTGCGATGGGTCGGACATGACTTCATGACTAACAACAACAAGAAGTTCTTCTTTGTGTTGCTTTCATTTTGAAATAAAACAGAATGTAACGGTTGAAAAAGAAATGGAAGCATAGTTGGTTCAATGGTGTGCAGTTGAAACTCTGCTTTTAAAAGGAAGAACCATGAAATGGGAGAGCAGCCAGTGGCCTGGAAATTGCTCATCACACATAGCAGTTTGATAACCAATTGTGCAGAAACAAGTCAGCCATCTTCTCTACTGTGACAAGATATATTGCATTTATGTCACAGTGCATACTTCTTTTTGATCTTACTCTTAATGATATACTCTTACACCCACCCATATGCACATTATATAAAAGCATAAAGTCTAACCCAGTACATGGGTAGATATCCAGTACATATGCAGCAATTTGCCTTCACTTTCGTCTACAGATCTACATCAGCATATGCAGGGGTTATACAAACTGGTTTCCTTTTTTGCTCTCTTTCTTGATGATGCCCAAATGGCCACTCTTTGCAAGAGCACTAGGTAAGCTGAATATTGCAAGCTTAAATATTGTGCATCTATGTATACATGCATTCACACATGGGATGCTAAACTGACTGTTCTTCTACTTTATATTTAAGCCTTACAGTAGGCATAAATGAAATAGGTAACTGTTATCAGCAGCATAAG